TTGATTTAGTGATCTCAATTCGCCTTTGTGCAACTTGATATTCACGTATTAATCGTGTTTCTACAGCAGCAAGTCTTCGATACCCATCACGTCCTAATAAAGCTTCATCACAAGCACGTACATAAGCATCTAATCTTGCATTATCTACAATTGAATTATATTTTATATTAATAATTTGATTTTCACATCCTAGCTCCATATTATATATACAAATTGGATTCCCAGATTCCAAAACCATTTGGTGCTTTATAATAAGTTGTCTGATGTGTTCGTGCGCTTCTTTTCCAAATGATGCATATCATTTATTTTGTTGTGATACTGATTGTACTTCGTTGAGTGGCCTCTTTCTTTTATCAATAACAACTTTGTCAGTTGATAGTTTTTAAATTGTTCAATCCGCGCTTGATGTAATACTTCAATGTCAAATCCAAAGACATGTATCCCAGAATGTTGAGATTTTTTTCGATTAGTTTTCTGTTATAAATAATAGTATATAAAACCTTATCCGCAAAAGTATATTTAGTTTCGCAACATAACATCTGGTCAGCAATTTCTGTCTTTACGATCTAACCATCAGGAATTTGATATTGGACGCCATGTTTATTTTTTTGTGTGTACTTAACATTTTGCGGATAATGTCCAAGAGATATTATCTTATATTTTGAGCAAAAAATCTTGCCACCACTAGTATACTGAGCGTAAATATAAGGATTATTATGATAATCCTCATAAAAAATTCTGTTCGTCTATATTAATATTTAAATTATTAGTATGTATTTTTTCGCATTTTTATAAAAAATATACTTACCATAAAGCAGTTCGTTTATAATTTATTTTTTTATTTTTTTTTGTTAAAGTCTTTTTTAGATATAAGCAACGAAAAATAGTAAAAAATAAATTTATATGATATTCCTTAATTTCGCGATGAGTCCTTTCTAACTAATCTACAACTCATTTGAAACTCGCGATTTCAATTGGTTCGAAATCTAAATTATCACACTATTTCGTGGTACAAAGTTAGCATTTTGGTAGTACAGATCGTAAATATCACGAGTATGATCAGCCCATATGATGATAAGTTAAATGTCCATTATGCTGTTTATTCTAGTTATTCCATACGCGAAACAAAAAAAAAAAATTGTGCTATTTTTCCTCGTTCGCGTATGTATATATAACTGTTATTAATCAACTATGAGCGAACCGGCTACAAGGGTAACCTTCACTCGCAAATTATCAGCTTCTAATCTATTTGAATTTCTAAATAATAAAGCTTGTTATATCTCAGATTTATGAACCGTTACCGCAAATATAATTAGTTTATCATTACTGCCTAAAAAATACTTGGAACAAATTTGACATTATCTGGTCTTAGCATTTTGATAATGCTAAATTGGTGTTGAACCAGGATACTTCTGCAGAGTTAAAGAAGAAGGTACGTCCTTTTATGTTGTAGAGGAAGGGCAGCTCCGAGTTGACCACTGACTCGACTCAGGGAAATTACGGAAATTTGATAGTTCCCACTCCAATTCTAGTGTCCAGAGGAGGAGTTTGTTATGTACGTTCCTTTATTACTAAATAATACAATACACTCCTAACGCTCAATTCTCATGATAGGTCGAACATGAACAATATGGTAATGATCTTCAATCATACTGGAAGGTGGCTTAAAGCGCAGAAAAGAAAAATCACTCTGAAAAGGCGAATGAAATAGATAGGTGACGAAAAGAACGTTCATCGGTCTATTTTGTTGATCAAGCGGAGCGGAACATTGCGGGCTGTGATTTATAGAAAGCTATTCTCCAAAGTATGTAAGATATGCATATTACTTTGACATATGGAACGTATTTGGGAAAGAGATAATGGAGTACAAGATCTTAATAAGAATGAAAATTGCCTTCCTTGTAGATTAAACGCGCTGTGAATCTTCTCCGATCAGATTTCCTTGTGAATATTTATTTCTGTACCTGATTTTGAAAACCAAAAGGATCTGGCTTTGGTCCTCACAGAATAAGGTGCCCTGGTTAATGAAGAAAATGCAAATACGTTCAAGATTTCTTCGCCTTTAATGCGCTGGCTGGTTCTTCGGCGAATAATTCCTCAGGTTTTCCCTCCTGTCCTAATGTTTGAAGTGCCCTACCATTCCGATCCGCGTAATTGGATCTCCTTAATGTCTTGATTCATAAAAAATATTAAAAGTTTGAAATTTCCAAGAGAATGTATATGAGGCAGAGCTGTATCGAACATTGTCGAATTGGCTCATTGGCTTTACAATAACCGGTCAGCGGCATCTAATACATAATATTAACAGTCGAAATCAGCATAAGTATAGCGATATTGTTAACAAAAATCCAACGGTTGTTCTCACGCTATTGGCAACAGCGACACGTAAAGAGCTTGATGAACATTTTGGACGGGCTCTTACTTACGCGACATTGCTCCCGACAGAGGAGACATGGTTGTTCATTTTACATGCGAAGATAGTGTAACGACCTTGACTTTACTAAAATTATTATGATTGCATGGTGGTGAGATTTAAACAATGATACGAAAAATTTTGCTAATGTTGAAGAATTGGTGGGTTCCATTATGATTGTTTGCTTTGTCGTCATTTTCTAACGACTTCTGCTCGATTGCAGGTTTGCAATAGTAAAGAGATGGTAGCAAGATATATCCGATTTTTTTGAAAGAGAACCAAGGAAGCTTATAATAATAATGGAAATATTATAAAATTTTGATTAGTTAAGCCGGTTGCTCTTTATAAGAGAGGTTTTTGTAGAAGTTTGCCAGCAGTTGGAATATATGGTCTAATGCTGTTTGTCAAAGTTTCTCTTTTTTTTTACATGACGTTGAGAGTTACATATGAAAATATTATTATATGTTATAAAATTCTAGAAATATTGGCGTAACAAGACAATTAAACGTAATTTAATCAACAGAGTGTCATTAACATATAATCATAGTTTAGATCAAGTTATTATTGTATTTAACTTTAACTTTATTACTTTGAAATAATCTTAATCAAATTTTAAAGAACATGATTATAATTTTTTTTTAAATTTTATGATATTATCTCAGTCAAATAAAATTGATTGAAACATGTTTTATATTATTTTTTTTTAGCCTTTTTTATTATATTTTTATATTGTATATTTACTATTAAACATTTATAAAAAAAAAAGAGATTAAAAAAAAGATAATTTTCATTTTCAATGCAAATTATTTTATAATTTAAAATTTAATTAAAAATTTTTTTGTATTAAAAACCATTTAATTATTTTAATAAAATATATTATATAGGTTATTTATTATTAAATCAAGTTATAAGATATAATAATTATATAATTTAAATATGATTTAATAGCAAACTTCATATAAGAGAGTATTACTAATAAATTATATTATTAATCATATAAATTATTATTTTTTATTATTGATTTTTATTGATAATATAAAACACTTTGCAGTAGAAAAAAAAAATTTTTTTTTTACTTTATAAATTAAATATTATTTTTTAGTAAAATAAAATTTAGATTTAATATTAACTCAAAAAAAATTTTTTTTGGTAGTTTTCTTTCTTTCTACTTACTCATATTTTTATATAATTTAGAATAATCTTTATCTTTATAATAATAAAATACTTATATAATAGTGATGTTTAGAATTTTATAATAAAAAATACTTGTGTAATAGTGACATTTAGAATACATATATAAATAAAATGATTAATATAATATTATACAAATTTCAAAAAAAGGAAATTTTATTTTTTTAGTAAAATTTAAATTCATGTCTTAAAATCAGTTACACAAATTTTCTTTTAGAATTTATGTAATGTCACATAATTTACCTATTATAAGGATCTTTCTCAGCTATATCAATAAAAAATTACTAGCATGTGAAAATATGAAAATATTTGTTATCTCATGTTATACCTTTTGCATTTTCCATTTTTATTAAGTATTTTATGAACTTAAAATTTTTTCATTATGTTGAAATCCTATTTATCACACTTATTTATCATAGATTAATTTCATAACATTATAACTAATGTTGTAATGTCAATCAAAAAGTTATATACTAGTAATTTTTTGTTAATATAACTGAGATTAGCAGCTAATATTATCATAATTATTAAAATTAAATTTATTAAATTAAATTAAATTATTTTTAATTTATATTAAACAAATTTTTATTTTAATTAAAATCAATTTATTATCATTATGTAATATATAATAATAATAATTATGTATTATCAATCAATATAAAAAGTTTGTAAAAAATCAAATTCTAAAAATTTTCTTAATCAAAATTAAGATTCTATTATATTTTAATCTAATAATATTAAAAAGTAAAATGTAATAAAAAATTAAAATTAATATCTAAAATTACATATACTATAGTATCAATTTTTAAATATTTAAATATTATATTTGTGAAAAATTAAAGTTTATATATATATATATTATTATTTTCTTTAGTATTTTTATATAAAAAATATTGTTTAATTTTTTTTTTTAATTCTTTATTAAATTACTATTTTTTATTATCAATTACTTCTTCTCTTTATCATCAATTACTTCTTTATTACCATTAGAATATTTAAATTTTTACTAATTAAATGGTTAATCAAATAAATTTGAAAATAAAAAGTCTAAATTAATAAGTTTTAAACAACTTTAATATTTTACTGGATAATGTTGATTGAGTATTGCAGTAGATGTCAGAGTAATTTCAGTTTATAATAAAAAAAAGTCACACTCTTTATCATTCTTTATTTTGGATAAATTCGAAATTGTTTTATTATTAATTTATCCAGATTTCTTATATTAAAAGATTGATACCAAGTTCATTTTTAGGACCGTGAATAATTATTACTTAAAATCATTAAGGATACTTATTAATCTCAATAAAAACCTATACATCGTGAATTTAATAAAATTTAAGGTATTTTGGAGATGCTTGATCAAAGCTAATAAATTTTCGAGAATTTTACACATTCATTAAAATCTATATTCGTCGATAAGGAGAACCAATTGATAATTCCACTTGTTTTCTGTAATGCAATGTCGATTATCGAGTTCGTTGTATTCGGAAGCATCAATGAGCGCCGAAGGTCTGCTAGAATTCACCCACGCTTTCCATAATGGCTTGCTCAAATCATACACTATTCCGAAGGGATGAGTGACAATAAAAACAGTTATATTTCATGGAACATGACCGCGAGACACTAATACAAATAAATCTTCGGTTTTCAACTGGTTATGAATTTCGAGTACTCGTGTAGACTTTCCAGAGGATCGTGGTCCCCGTAACATTACGAATTCTCCACAACGAATTAATTCAAGGAGTTGAACGTTCCGCATCGATGGATCAACAAAACATACCATTGGACGTTCATTTCGCGTAATTGCATCATCTATAATCCATTTCCTTCGCCGTTTATTCAGCGTGAATTTTTTCTCTCGTGATCTTCCTTTTTCTGCGCTCTAACAGTTATTGAGCATTAATAACAAATCTAGGTATAAAAATTATAAATTCATTAGATTATGATGTTTTATCCTTACCAGTGAATACAGATTAGTTTTCTTTATATTCAAATTATATTCAAATAAGACCGACCACCTTCCAGTATGGTTGAAACCATTGCCATTTTGTTCATGTTCGACCTATCATAAGAGATTGAGTGTTAGCATTGAATTATTTAATAATGATGGAATGTACATAACCAACTCCTCCTCTGAAGTAAGTAGACCTTATTAACAACAAAATTAGGGCGCCTGAATAGGGAACTTCTGGAGTGGGTACCAGCTCCAGTTATCAAAATTCAGTAATTCTCCTAAGTCAAGTCGATGGTCAACTAGGAGTTACCCTTCCTTTGCAAATAAAAAGAACGTACTTTTTTTTTAACTTTGCAAAAGTATCCTGATCCAACACCATTTTTGAATTTCCAAAAAATCGCTGAGACCAGGTAATATCAAATTTGTCCCAAGTATCTTTAGGTTGAAATTACAATTGCTGTATCGTTTCATATCCGCGACATGACCAGCTTTTATTATTACGTTGTTTTTTTAGGTAATCTAGAAATTAAAATAGATTAAAAGCTGAGAATTTTGCGAGTTAAGGTCAAACAAGACTTACCCTTGTGGTGTAATTAGGTTCGATCATGATGAAAAATTAGCACACTCAAATTTTTTTTTTCGTGTTTTCGCGTTCTCATTTATACTTTTTTTCTGATAGCAAGTTAACATTAAGTAATAAGTAACTAGGATGGCGATCATGGATTACGAACTCGTGACCACCACCATCACGTTTACGTTGTTCATAATCCCGCAGTATGAATGTCGTATGAGGAATAGATTGTTTTATATTGAATTATTTTTAAAATTTTCATTTATTTTAATTTTTAATAAAATTTAATAAAAGTTTAAGTTTGTGTTATTAAGTTTTTAAAGTTATTTTCATGAAAAGTATTATGGAGTTTATCGGGGTATATGGTCGAAAAGTTTTATGGATTTTTGGCTACACTTTCAAGATGAGCGTATTCTGTGATTACTTCTTGGTCAGTCATAAACGCTGATCTATTATTGAATACATTCCCAGCTGGAACATTGGCTGAGAGTGACGTATGCTTGATCAGAGGAGAAAATTTGGTCGTCCAAGTTGAGAGATATGTCATATAAGGTGAGTCCTTGGGTTTTGTATACTTTAGGCTGTAGCAGTTTGTATTGACGACTGGCAGAGTTTCCGTTAATAGTGAAGTAATTCACAAATGATCTAATTTCTAGATCAACAATTCCTCCTATTACGTTGAATGAGACTCAGACCAGGTTTGCTTCAGGGTACATTATCTTTACATTTTATTGAAGTCAGACCAATGTTGGTAGGTTTATCTTTGATTTAAATGTTTTTTTCAGCTAGGGTTGTGTCCCTTCTTTCACTGTTTATGATATCTATGATGTTAGAAATGAAGAATTTTCCTTTTACTATTGAAAGGATATTGCAGACCAAATGAGTAATTTTTTTGGCTGTTTCGCAGTATCCTACAATGTTTATGGTGTTGAATAAGAGGTCTATCGATCTATTTAGGTCAAATTCTTGATGTTTTCTTTGTAGCTTGTCCTAGATATCATTTGTTATATTTCTAAGGTAGAAGTTTTATTCTATATCAAAGAATTTGAAATATTCTTGTTGATGGTGAAATTAGCATAGAAAAAGGAGGCAAAATAATCTCTATATTGATGATTTGAATACTTGTATGCCTATAATCGACAGAAGTTGTACTAAATTACTGACTAAAATTATGTTGATACTTCTGAATTCTATATTGTTATTATGAATAGTAGCAAACATATTTAATAAGAATTCTAAGAATTGAGTTGATATCATAAAACTTTTCTATTATTATAATACTGATTTGCTTTAGTTTGTTCTTTGAATTTATTATCATAGAATGTTAAAGTGTAAAAACCTGTTTAAGTTGTTAATATTTTCAAAATGGCATAAATGGTAGTTCTTCTAATATTTTGAGTGGTAATGCCTGTCAGAGCCATTAAGAGCTAATTCAAATTTCTATTTTTTAATGAGTTAATCAGAAGATGAATGATGTATAATTTTCCTGTTTCTCTTGATCTAGTGATGAAGAAGTAAGATCAGTGACCTTCATTTCTTTTATCTAAAAAATATTTTAAGGTAAATATTGTATAATATTAATTAGGTGTAATTAGTATATAACATTTTCAGAGAATATTAGAGGTAAGATTTTTAACGAATCTAATTGACTTTTTAGAATTGTAGTTATATTTTTTTAGAATGATATTTTCAAGACTTAATAATAACTCGTTTAAAATTTTAGAATATCTTGTATTCATGAAATGTTTTATTCAATAGGAGTGATTTTTAGATATTTTGACTTTAATAATATTTGAAAAGATAAATAAATAATAGTCACAATATGTTATAAATTTTCTTTTAATTTATCTTTTCTTCATACTGGTATAGTTTTTAATAATAATTGATAAAAAATACATCTTTCTATAGTTAGTTTTAGAAAATAATACCTTACAATAATTGGTTTGACTTTTTTTAGAACATAAATTTTTGAATTAATTTTGATATATTTTTCTTTATGTATTTATTAGCCTTTTTTTTAAATGATATAATTTTCAAAGTATTTTAAATAAATTACTTGATCAAAAATTTTTTTTGCAGGTATTTTTTGATAGAATCTTTAAAGTAAAGATTATTGTCTTTATTCATTAAAAGATAAATAAATTGAACTGCTTTCAACCTATGATTTAAAAAATCTGTATTAAGATATTTTACCTATATTGAGAAATTGCAAATTAATTTAATAAGTAATAAAATATCACTTCCATTGCTCCTAATCTTTGAATAATTATATATTTTTTAAATTGGTTGCTTTCTATAATATTAAAGACGTGGGAGTATTCTAATTTTATTATTTATTTAGTAATATACTTAGTAAATTCTTTGGATATTATATACTATGCATTCACGTAAGTATTTTAAATCATCAAAATTTTTGGGTAATAGGGAATTATTTACTAATCTAAACTTATATATACCTGCAGGAATTTGAATCAAGATAGGTAGTATCTGAAAATAGTTGTAGAAAGCCTTTTTTACATCTTTCACTAGGAGTAGTAAGTCTACTGTACTTAAAGGGATCATATCAATAGATTTGATAGGTCAATATTTTTTGATATAATTTAAGTTCTTGTATTGGATCTAGTAGGTCTAAACATATTACATTGTTTTGATTTTATGGTTAATAGATTTTATAGTTCAGTAACATCATCTATATATATAAGTAGCTTTTTTATTCTTAAATTCAATTTAATCAAAAAAGTTCATAAATGTATCCCAATCATTATTTTTTTCATTTTTCTATACTTTCTTTTTAATTAATCTGAATCAGTGTATAAAATAAATAGCATAGTGTAAGATCTATTAATTAGAATTATATCACTATTATTAGTTTGATATAATATATCATTAAAGTCTATCACCTGCTTTCCTATCATTGATAAGATGATGAATATTGTGGGAAGGCTAAAATTTGTAATATTGAATTAAGATATAATTCCTTTTTATGAAAGTAAGAATTTTCTATTTTAATAAAGTGAGTATTAGTGTAATTAGAGTCTTATTAATTTGCATCTTGTTTGGGTAATTACTTTATTATAATAGATTAAACGAAGATGAAAGTTGTCATAATTTATCTATATTTCTTTTATATAATATACATTGAGTATTTTGATAATGTTAAAGCTTTTTTAATTAAAGATAAATATATAATGACTAGTAATAATCTAGTTTAAATCTTAGATCATTGAGTAGTAGCATATGCTTGACGTATTTTTTTAGAGCTTTTGTTTTGTTTTCATTTGATTTTGTTCATTTCTTTACATTGTAAAAGTAACCTTTACCATCTAGAAACAGGTAAGAAAATAAGAGCAATTCAAAGTTCAAATTGTAAATAGAAATAAGTAATTGAATTCAATCATAAATCGTAAGTAATAAAAATCTTTGTTATACTTCACTGAGTAAATTTTTCATTAGTACTATTATGTCATATAGATTAACTAATAGTACAGTATTATCATCGTGACAATTAGAAATAGATCTGCTATCTTTAGCATAATGGATATTTAACTTATTTATGATTTTATTGGTTGAATTTTGTGATGATCATTCTTGAAATATCATATAATTATTAATTTTGTTGGTACAAAATTGATTATCATAAAAATTACTAAATAGAAAAATTAGTTTTAAATTATTAAAAAATATTTTTTGGCTATTTTTTTTATTAAATTAATGTTAAATCAAAATATAAAAATATCAAATATATCTATATTTTTTAAAATAATTATAAAAATTAGAAAAAAAATAGAAAATTAAAAGAACTTATAACATTAAATTAAAAAGTAAAATTATAAATATACTAAATATCATATATTTAAATCATTACTAATAATATTTGTGATTAATATAAATGTTTAGATTAAGAAGATATTATAATATTTATATATGATCATATTTTTCATTATAAATGTTTTTCAGTACAATAAAAAATTCTATAAAAAAGTGTTATCTTTAATATATAAAAAGATTATAAAAAGATAAATAGTTTATTAGATGATAAAATATTAGATAATGAAGAAGTAGTAATAATAAAAAAAATATTGATAGACTTTAAAAATATTTTAAACTTGATAAATTATAAGCTATTAAATAAAATATATTGTAATACATATAATATGTATAATTTTAACCTTAAAATTTTATCTAACTTTTTTAAGAGTAGAGGTTTTCAGATCTTTTTTATCTAAATATAAAGAAAAGAATAAATAATATATCAATG